GTGCGTGCGTGCGTGCGTGCGTGTGTGTGTGTGCGTGTGTGTGTGTGTGCACACGTGCACGCACCTGAGTGTAATGTGTGTGCACTGTGTATATGCTAGAGCCCACAGAAGTGAGAAGACGGTGTGGGATTCCTTTGAACTGGACGTGGGGATGGTTGTGAGCCACCATGTGGGTGCTGGGAACTGAATCTCCCATCTCTGCAAGAGCAGTAAATGCTGTTAGCTGCTGAGCCGTGACACTGGATTTTAATACTTAGAAGAAACAGTAACATCCTTCAATCACCTGAGCATCTCCCGCCCCAAAGACACACAGTAATGAACTTCATCACGCCTCTTCCCTGAGCTCAACACACTTTCAAAACACATCTGGCCTCTCCTTCCCGCTGGTCTCCTCATTTCAACAATGACCACCAGTTAGCAGGTCTCCTCCTTGTCCACCCGCTCAGAAACAGGTGCCGGGATATAACAAATATTTACCTCTATTAAAGTAAAAATTCCCAGAACCACGTAGGATTTCCAGTAACACCTTATGATTGCCCTGGTTAAGGAAGGCTTCCGCGCGTCCTCCTTGGCTCTCAGAAGTTCTTTATCCCAGTACCTACAATAAGACAGAAGCTGAGTCAACAACACCATGCATGGCCATTGTGTAAAAGAGGGGCTGACAGGAGGCCAGACAAGTGTTTATGACAGGGTTATCCTGAGGATGCAGCACAAACACTGGCTAATTGTCCTGAGGGACCCAGAAAGATGTGTGAGGCAGACTTTGTTGCACCAGAAAAATGAGCCTCAAGGGGGAACATCTCAGGGAACAAGTTACTGCCGAGCTTTGCGGGATTACAGCATCCTCGGGAGCCAGAGAAGGCACCCGCTCTGGTGTAAACCACCCCCAGGCACGGAGGGCCTAAGGAGCAAGCTCCCCTCATCTACCAACGCAGGCTTTCTTTCCCCAGGACACTCAGTCAGGCTCAGCCAGGACAACCTGAGAGGAAGTGCACAATGCTGGGAGAATGAAGAAGCCCCAGCAAGGCGAAGGCCAAACCTACTGCAAGCCATAAGCGGCACTGCTCTTATGGCTTCGCACGGCTTACCCTTGCAGTTCCTCTCCAAGGTGCTTTGAGCGGTCTTCTGGAAGCACTGAGTACATGTCATCTTCCTCCAATCTCCGAGTATGACCGGTTTTAAACAAGGGGTTGAGCCACCTGTTAAAGAGTTAAAGGGATGACATATTCAGAACTGTATGCTTGTGTTTACGTAGACTCTCACCTTAGACCACACGCACATGGGCACACACTCACAGGCACGCGCGCGCGCGCGCGCGCACACACACACACACACACACACACACACACACACACACAGAAGCACACACCACACATGCTTGCACCTGTAGCTCTACACAATGGGAGACCCTGGAGGCAGTGACACCCCAGCCAAGGAGAACACTCTGACATCCAAATAGCCACACCTTTAGTTCTTAACAGCATTCTCCCTTATAAACACAATAGCTCCTTAAAAATGGCTGATTACAAGGGGCAGAAAAGGCACTAGATAGACCATGAGTACTCAAGGGATATGAAGATATGGCCAAGGACAGAAAAGCTAGACAGAGGGTTCTACTGGACAAATCTGGAAGGGCTTGGAAATCCCAATTGGTAAGACTGGTAGTGCATTATAACCAATGAACAACACAAGAATCGAGAGTCCTTACTGAGACATAAGAGGGAGAGCTCCTACACAGAGGGCACAATACAGTGAGAAAATTACCAGTAGAGACTGGGGGTGTTGTTCAGTAGTGCTTGCCTAGCACGCACTGGGCCCTAAATTCAATCCTCAGTACGCCATCTTCACCCAAAAGGAAAAGAAAACTACCAAGAGAGGCTGAGAACTAACCCATGAAAACATGATGAGAAACGGGGTGTCCTAGTTAGCTTTAACTGCCAACCTGACACACCCCACAGTGACTGGAGAAAGGAGACTCAGTTAGAGGATGTCCCAAATCGGGCTGGACTGAGGGCATGTCTGTGAGGGGATTGTCTTGACTGACAGTTGATGTCTGCGGGTCGAGCCCACTTTGAGAAGTGCCGTTCTTTCAGTGGGTGGTCAGGGCTGTACAAGAAAGCTAAACAAAAGCAGCATTTCTCCATGGTTCCACCTTCACGTTCCTGCTTGAGTTCCCCACCTGACTTCCCTCAGTGATGGGCCGTGGTGACCTAGAAGTGGAAGCCAAATAATTCCTTTCCTCCTCTAAGTTGTCTTCTTTTTTCCCCCAGAGCATTTTATCACAGCAACAGAAAGAAAATTAGAACATGGGGTATTATTAATACAGCTTCTAATTATCTTTCTACAAATTAATTTTTAAAGGAAAAATAGTAAACTAAGCAGGACTCTCCCCACAAAAAAATCTCATTTAAATATTTTTATTCTTTTTACTAATAAAATCAAAGTAGTAACCATCCAGTAAGAATCATTTAAACAATAACACGCAGAAATAACTCAAGGGTGAGCGTGGCTTTTTTGATGTTGCAGGATAAGGACATTTCCAAGGCCAGACAATAATAACCTCCCGAAGCAGAGATCAGGTTCCTCTTGTTGACTGACTGATCGTTCTAGAACAGTCTGGACAAAAGCAGGGCAGGGGGGGTTGGGGGGGCTCCACGAATGTTGTTGATTCTGCAAGTCATCAGGGACACAATCCCAGAAACTGAGCCCTAAGCTTTGCCAACTCCGGTTGCTTGGTTCCTCCAAGGAATCTCAGTCTGGAAGCTAGGAAATAAGAGCCTTGTCTCAGAGCGAATACTGGGGACTCAGCCCCCTCCTTGGCCTCGGTCATCCCCCTGGACTTCTAGGAGCTCAGTTCCCGTGACCTGTCATTACACCTGCAGGTCTCAGTATCCTCCCTAAGATACACACCACTCAGTGAGATTTACCACTAACCAGACATGGAAACCTGCTTGGTCCTTCATTCTATAGTTATTCTAAACTCAGGTCCTTGGCACCCGAGCTGGCTGCTGACAGTGACCCGAGAAGCACTCTCTAGCGAGAAGCCTGAGTGTAGGAAACCCTCCAGCTTCAGAGTCTAGGTGTGGCTGCTTTCTGGATGTATGACCGCTATGCCACACATGCTCACTTGGTCTCCCTGTCTCCCTGCTCCTGGCCCCGAAGTCTCCCAGCCTGCAGCAAATGAAAGGACACCTGGAGACGCTGCGAGGACCCACTGTGGTATGGGGTGGCTGTGGACAATGACAACTTCCAAAAGACAAATTCAGCCACTATCGTGGTCTAACCATGCATCCAAGGGAGCCTGGCAGAGTCACTTCCACATCACGATTGATTTAGCCCTCCCTAGCCCCCCGTCCACAGGGACAGTCTGCCAGCTTTGTGGGAAAGCTTCAGAAGGCAGAAAAGGAATTATGTATCTGTCCCTCTTGGGCAACTCCATGTATGTCCTTCTAAAAAGCTTTGATAAATGAAATTACTGAATCAAGAAAAGGTCTTCCATCTTGGCTCTTGGCCAATGGCCTCTTCGGTGGACCTGTTTTTAGAGGGACTGTGTAGTCTGGGATGCCACTGCTCTGGGGTTTCTGCAGGACTAGGTGCTCTGTAGCTCCAGGGAACAAGGTGTACAGTGCTTGGGACTCTCCAAAGGAGACATGTGACTGGGAGCTACAACAGCTCCCCAAGACTGTGGCATGCATACATTGCAAGGGCTCCCAAGGTAAACTTAGGGTTCTAGAGAGCTCCAGTGTCCCTGCCTTGTCCACCCTGAGTGACACACTGAGAAAGAGAACTAATCAGCTCACCTCTTTCTCACCACCCTTCCCAGTGAACACTGGTCACCTTGCCTGCCCTGGCTCTATGGTGGGCTTCTTAGACATGTCTGAAACACCACCCACATGCCTGAGCTCTTTCTTCCAGTAGAACATCTGGTATTTTCCAGTATTTTCCAGTGGAATTCATTAGCATTTTCTCAGGCTTAAAACCAAACCTTGTTATGGTTTGCGGTGGGTTTTGTTTTATTTTGTTTCGAATCAGCAGGTAAACACAGATTGGAGAAGAAATGGAATCTGAAGAAAGGATTTCTAAAGCTATCCCAGGAAGCTGGCATAGAGAAGTGGCCAAATAACTGCTCAGCTTCTGTACAGGCCTGACATTCAAACCCAAGAACCAACCCCTCAAAGAGAACAAAGAAGGACGCAGGAAAGAAACCCTGATAACCATGTTCAATGAGACTGCGAAGAAAACCACATTTATAACCTAAGTAGGAACATGATACAGAGGGATGCAGTGCTAAATTAGGAAATATAAACTCAAGGGACTCAAAGTTTCCTTTAGAAGATGCCACAAATTGATTGTCCCCAGGCTCTCTCCCTACCCAACTCTCAAAAATCCAGGCTGAGACACATGGTTTAATTTGCCGTCAGGCAAGCACACTGTGGTAAGAAACTGTCTCTGATCGTCTGTGTAATACATTATATATGGTGGCATGCCACATGACGACAATATGATCAACAACTGCTTATACTATGGTAACCTCTAAGATACTATGAAGCCAGTGACATCACTAGCCATCTTAATGCATGTCAGCACACACAAGGTTAGCACAGTGACAAACTGCCTGGTGACAATTTCCCTGAATACGTCTCCGAGGTTAAGCAATGGCCAATTACACACAGAGACCCAGGTCAACTGGTGCCTTCACTCTAATTTATCCCTGAGGGAATTTAGTCAACAATGGGGCGGGCACTGTCAAATGAGCCATTCTTGACTCCTGTGCTCGCAACAGTCCTCCTCCCTTGCCACAGCTGATGGTGCAGGTAGAGCCTGGCTCGGGCTCTAACTCCTTCAGAGCAGTGAGCACCCCACAGGACTCACAAGCCCTGCTGGTAACACAGTGCCTGGTGGGGGGGCACACAATGGACAGCTACTGAATGGATGACATCTTGTATAACAACACAGATGGTCAGATTGTCTTGAGCAGTGGCCCAAAGTGTGACTCATGGGTAAGTCAATCTAACACACCATGCTGAAGTCCAAACACAGGAAGCCATTAGCTCAGAGACAGATAGCCGCCTGGATGGCAGTGTCCACTCCCTTATCACAGCCCTCTGTCTCTGCAATAAATATGCTTACCAAATGGTATGGATATTTTACTTACTGCTGTTGGCGTTTTGTCTCTCCTTCACCTGGACTCAAACACTCAACGTCCACAAACGCCACATTTACCATGCTTACAGGCAAAACACACAAACTCTAATCTCTCTGAGAGCTAGTTAATTCTCTCTCCTTTTCCTTCCCAATCTTTCCTCTTTAATATCCCAATGGCCATTCCCACTCCTCTTCCTCTCTCCTTCCTGTTTTGCATTTAACTGTGATGGGACTAAATTATTTCATCACTGGGTAGCTTTGGATGTGTGGACCAGGGCATTAGATTAGGACGGCTATAGACAGACACTTGGTAGCTGCTGAATCAATCCTGCTGTCTCTCCGGTGAACCAGTCCCATATTTCATGCATCTTTCAGAAGCCAAGCCTAATACAGCCAAAGCTATTTCCTCCCTGGAAATAACACAAAACAGAACAGATCTGCTAGGGGAGATAGGCTGTGTTTCGGGAACCAGGTGATATGGTGTCTGTGCTCAAGCTTGTAAAGGTGACCAGTGACCGGAGCCACAAGTTTGGGAAGAATTTGCACAGCAAGGAGGAGTGAAGACACCTAGGATGTTAAACTTGCATGGCAGCCCACTTTAAAGGTGTGTGCCTGAGTCTCCTAAAACTAGTGTCACAGCGAGAGAGAGAGAGGGGGGTGATAATGGCCCATGCCTGTAATCCCAGCACTTGGGAGGGGGAGGCAAGAGGTCTGGAATTCAAAGATATCCTTGGCTACATAATAAATATGAGGCCAACTTGAGCTACAGGGAACCCTGATCAAAAACAAAATAAAAAGGGACTTCAAAGCCAAAGAGATGGCTCAGAGGGTAAAGTACTTGAAGCTAAAAACTGAGTTTAATCTCCAAAACTCACATAAAGGTGGGAAGTGAGAAGTGACTTCACAAAGTGGCCCTCCACACACACACACACACACACACACACGCACACACACACACAGAGAGAGAGAGAGAGAGAGAGAGACACTTATACATTCATACACACAGAGACAGACAGAGATACACACATACACTCACACAGACACACTCACACAC